TGGGTTTTTCTTTTTCTTTTTTTTTCTTTTTTTTTTAAGCTTTAGAAGTTACTTCTTTCCAACAAAGAATGAGAGTCTATTACAGTGGTCTTTGGAATCAACTAGATCTTGTTTGAAAATTCTGACTGTGCCACTTTCTTTGTGCCTTTGGGTAACTTACTTAATGTAGGCGTCAGTTTCCTCATCTGTAAAATGGGGATAGTGATACATCTATCATAGAGTTTTTGTAAGAATAGTAGTTTTAATAAGAATGAGATAATGAATCTAAGGTTTCTAGCACAGTATCTGGTACTCAGGTCAAAATAATGGGAGCTGAGAGGAGGAGGCAGCAGCAGCATACCTGCCTCATGTAGAGACAGAAAAATTTCTGAATCTTAGGCATTTTACTGTCAAGTGGAAATTAATGCTTACTTCAACAAGCTATTGGAAGACCTAGATGAGTATTATTCAGTATGTAGCAAGAGCTTAAACAATGCTGGTTTATCTGATATTCTATTTGTCATGATTCATTTATGTAATCAACAAATAGTTATCGAGTACCCATACCATGTGTCTGGCAATGTTCCAGACACTGGTGATACAGCAGAAAAGCTCCTGCCCTTATGAAATTTACATTGGAGCAAGGAGACAGGTGATAAACACACACAAACAAGACAGCTTACAGTAGGAATAATACCATGAAGAAAATAAACAAGGTAATGGGCTAGTAAGTGACTGTGTTCTGGAGACGTAATGAATGACTGCTGAGTGTTAAAGGGCTCCCTAGAAAGCTGATGCCTGAGTTGAGACCTGAGTGACATAAAGGAACCAGCCATCAAAGTCACAATGAAGGGGAGTCCTGACTGAGAGACCCTCCTGAGTGAAGTTCTGAGGTGGGATAGCTGACGTGTTTCAGATCAGTTAAGAGATAAGGTCAGAGATGTTGGCCAAATCGTATGGGGTCTTAGAGGCCATGATGAGATGAGAATTTTGGATTTTCTTCTAAATCGAAATTTCTTCTATGATTGGAAAACATAGGGGGATGGATAATTAGGGTTTAATACCTAAAGTATGAAGATTTAAGTCAAGGGCTGATGACTGCAATTAAGTACTTCTATGATACTAATTATGTGTCCCGACAGATATGGGGGACTGGACAGAGTTTTTCACGCTGTGGCTGGGAAACACAAGCAAAAGGACATAGTACCTTCACACCTTCACATCAACCAGCTCACAAAACTCAGGATTCGAGAGTTAGAGAAAGCTCAGTGATCATCTGGTTTAACACTCTCCACATCTAGGAGTAGCCTAACTCAGTTAAAGAAAAAGAATTCCTGAAGGAATTAGTACCAGACTCTAATAATACATTTCATAAGGTCCAGAATACTGGGGGTAACTAATTCAAAGGGAAAATGAGAGATTATTTACAGCCCCACAAATAAATGTCTATAGTGAAGGTACAAAGATGTTCTTGATTATTCATAGCTAATAAAAATAATCACAGAAATCACCATGTATTGATTACTTGTTATGTATACTAATTTGAAAGCCTTCCATGGCTTTATGTAATACTTGAAACAACCCTATGAGGTAGGTATATGAATGAGGGAACTAAGTTGTAAAGAATTCAGTATCTTGCCCAAGATCACCCGGCTAATAAGTACTAGTTCTGGGGCTTGCCTGCTTTTTTCAAAACCCACTGTACTGTGCTGCCAGAAATGATATTAAGGACAAAGTGGGAACATTCATTTTGCTGCTGTCAGCGTTTGATGGAACTCAAACACATATACACACTGAGAATGCTTGCTAATAATAAAAGGTGTCAGTCTACAAACAGAAGCTATATTAACAGATACCATTCATTAAGTATTGATTGTGTATCAAGCCCTGTGCTAAAGATGGTTTACTTTACATTATTTCTAATGGATGAGCAACTTAAATCAGGCCCAGCTACACACCAAGCACAAAACGAGTCCAGTTGCCTGGTTAGGAAAGAAAATCCCTGGCTTTGGCTGCTCCTCTTCCTGCAATGTCAGCAGGCTTTGCCCCAAAGCAACAGACTCATTCTGAAAAATCAACTCACAAATACTCTAAGGTAACTTGTGGACTCGGCTATCACTCTGACTTCCACCTCACTTTCCTCTTTTATAAAATCAAGGAAAACCACCCACTGACCTAGCACTTTTCTTTACCGTAATTACCGTGATTACCCTTAATGATTCACTTAGGGGCTCTGTCAACTTAAAATGGCACTGTGATCTCCAATATCCATATTCTTACTTCCCTTCAAGCTTGTCAAAGAAAAACAGCAGAATTTTAGGGAGGTTAGGTACAGCTGCCCAGAAGCACTGCTTGCCTGTCATGGTGTCAGCAGCAGAGCCAAGGAGATCATGGAACTGACTTGAATCCTAATTTTTACCACAGCGTGGCCAGAAACATGAGTTCTGACCATGTTGTTATCCCAGTGAAAGACTTCAAGGACCAAAGTACAGATTGAAGTGGATCTCATATATGATCTTAAATTACGTTTAGGAGTATATCTGTGTAATTCTGTACAACTCATTAATGGTGGATCCTAATCCTTACCTCTAAAATGAAAGGGTGATGTGATCTAAGGTCCCTTGAAACTTTAAGATGCTCTGATTTTCTATGACCTGTGGTTAGAATCACTCCTAA